AGATCATAGAAGAGTACACAAGGAGTGGGAAAGAAAGAGATAGAAAAATGTTTGTCGGTTCGCGTAAAAAAAAAAAAGAAAGAAAAAAAGGCGAGACGTTGCGTAAATATCGGTCATTAAGCGCGTGCAAGTATTACAAGTCTCGCAAGTATTACACTAGCGAAGTTTCCTGTCTCGATCAAGGATGCGATGTTGAAGTCAATTGTTTCCCGTTTGCATTCGTGGCGGGTTATAACTGTCCTCTTCGACGAATCGGCAACTTGTTTATCAGAATTCCCGTCCTCGGTTTTTTATTTTCTCGATTTCGAGATTTTCCAAGATTTTAAAATCGTTAAGGAATATTTAAAGAAATCTTGAGATCTTCGAATTTCGAAACTCGAATCGCGTGGAGAAAATCAACGTCGCGTTGGTGGTCCTCGAAATAGAAATTTTAATTAGGCCCGGATAAGCGTAAGAGAGATGTCGTGGTGAGATGAATTTCACAGGATTCGATAAACCTCGAACGGTTGAATTTAAATATCGCTTGGTCGATTTTCATCGTTCCACAGGTTTCGCAATTTATCCATCGATGTAACCGCGACGTGACTCCGATCGTCAATGTTATTTTGACTCTTTCCTCATAGGACGAGTCACGATCGTATCGAAGCGAGCGCTGATTCCTCCTCGCAGCTGTGCTCTCGTTCGACGTGATTCTCAATCGTAATGCGCGGTTCGTTACAGGGCATAAGTCAATTAAGTCGGTATATTAGCCAATCGGGTCCTTTTCTTTGCCCGAGCAGCTTTGCCTCCTCCGTTGATCATTTCGTTCGTATCTCATCCTGTATCGCGTTTACGTTTCGTTAAATTATTCCAAATCGATATTCCCGCGCGAAATTCTCGAGAATTCTGTTTGGAGAAATTCCACGATTTCGATTCTGTGTCATTTATATATATATATGTATATTCGTCTTTCGATTAACAAAATTATATTTCAATTTTTTATGAATACTTTCGTTTCTGGAGAGAAGAGATACAACGAATGTATTTCTGGGAGTTTTGATTTTTTTTTTTTATTAATAAGTTGTCTCGTGAAAGGTCCTCTATTCTCCGTTTCATTTAAATGGCACGCATGTAACACGGTGTCACGCGTGACTAAAATTATATTCCATTCGTGGACGTGGCTAATTAACATCGAAGAAGGTTAAACGTCGCCGCTACGTCGAGACGCTCGAATTTAATATGCGAATTTCCTGGCCCGAATTTGCATTTTTTAAAGTTTGATCTGCCTCCAACCCGGCCAACAGGGACAGAAATCGTTTCCAATTCGAAACTCGAGCCGCCAGCTAAGCAATCCGTCCGCCTCGCGACTTGATTCGTTGTATTACCTATTCCTCGCTGTTAAAAATTCGCTCCTCTATCAACGTTCACGCTTACATCGCTATACAAATCTCGTTCAATTTTTCCCTCCTTTACCTTGCAAATCTTCTTTTGGAGAAACTTGACTCAACTCGAAGATCGAGCCGTTCCACTTTATTTATTTTCTTCAAATCGGAAATATTTATCTTCCAATATCTTTTCTCCCCGAATACTTTTCTCTCGCGTAGGAATGAAAAAGCACAGTCCACGGTTAATAATATTTCCTCACAGCGTGTTGCACCGGGTTACAATAATCCAATCTTTTTCTCCCTTTTAATATACGCGTGTATACCCGTATTTCTGAGAATTTAGATGTTAAAATTGGCCGGTTGATTTATCGGTTTTGCGGGTTTGCTGCACGAGGCTCCGAGGTCCCGACAGAGGCAAGGCGCATTACCTGGTGGACTTTATAGAATCGTATTGCCACGAGGGAAGATAAAAATCGCTTATATCCAACCCTCCTTCTCGGCTTGGTATTTTCGTGGCTACCACTTAAATTATCGATACCGTGAATCTGAATTACCACGTTTCGCATCTTTATTCACGCCGGCTCGCCGGACAAGGACACGCGTCTATTTATCCAACCATCTAGTCCTGGTAAAACGTGTTCCAACCGCGAAAGCCTATGGGCTAGTTAAAGTGATTTATCGCCCCGTAAAATATATTCCTCTTGTCCGCCGTGTTCGAGCAGAAACAGCCAGTGGCCAATTTAGTTTCAATTCTCGTGCTAAATGTCTTCGAGCGAGTCGTGAAAAATATTCGTCCATTGTTCCTTGGCAAGCGTCGATTCGAATACCTGAAAAATATCGTTTCGTCGGTGTCCAGCCCGAAATGGAAATTTCAATCGTTTTTATTTATTATCCACGCTTCGAGCCAGATATATCAATCCTTTCTCGACAAGTTATCTTTATATTTTTCCGACGAAAGCAAAAATATAAAAATCCGCGGGATTTTAAGTCGAGCTTGTTTAAAATTGATATTCTCGGGTAAGAGCAATCGGCACGCCAAGCTATCGATAATTTATCTCGAATAAATTTAAAGTAAATTGGAATCAGTGAAAGTCGGGCGATCGATCCTTTTTTCTTATAACTGATCCAATATTAAATTATATAACTTACGTCATATCTCCATTTCTAAAAGCGTACATTTCCTTTTATCCTTTTTACTTAATTCTCCAAAATCGATAAAAAAGAAAAAAAGAAAGATTTATCTTCTAAAAATTCCTCCTCCAAATGAAACGCTCCTCCAAGGCAATCTCTCGTCTCGTCCCGCGAAAATCGAACTCCCACTCCTTTCGAACCGCCAACTACTCCTCCTCCAACTCACCCTCTCAAAAATCAAAAACCGCACAACCCTCCGTCCTCCATTAAATTCCGCGAGCTCGTGAAAGCTCGTGGAATCGTGGAAGGAGGCATCGAATTTCACGGGTGTGCGACAACTTGGCCAAGTAATTATATTTACAGGGAGTGGCACTCGACCTACAACCTCGAAACTCAAACCCTTTTTCCCTGTGCCGCGCACCGCGCGGTCCTGTGGAAATCCGCGGCGCAGGATCAGGCCTGCGTGCAAACACGGGACGCTGGTTCTCGTCTCCATGGTTACGTACACCTCCCCTCCGCCCCTGCTGGCTCGGCGGACGTGG